ATCCTCCTTCTCCTTCCCCATATCCTTCTTCTTCCCCTTCCCCTTCCCCATATCCTTCTCTTCTCCTTCCCACATCTCCTTCTCTCATCCTCCTTCTCCTTCCCCATATCCTCCTTCCCCTTCTTTATATCCTTCTCCTCCTTCCCCATATCCTCCTCCTTCCCTTCTCCATATCCTCCTTCTCCTTCTCTTCCCTCCCCCATATCCTCCTTCCCCATATCCTCCTCCTTCCCCTTTCTCCATATCCTCCTTCTCCTTCCCTTCCCATATCCTTCTTCTCCTTCCCCATATCCTCCTTCCCCTTCTCCTTCCCCATATCCTCCTTCCCCTTCCCATATCCTCCTTCCCCTTCTCCATATCCTCCTTCTCCTTCCCCATATCCTTCTGCTCCTTCCCCATATCCTCCTTCCCCTTCTCCTTCCCCCATATCCTCCTTCCCTTCTCCATATCCTCCTTCCCTTCCCCATATCCTCCTTCCCCTTCCCCATATCCTTCTTCTCCTTCTCCTTCCCCATATCCTTCTCCTCCTTCCCCTTCCCCCATATCCTCCTTCTCCTTCTTCTTCCCCTTCCCCATATCCTTCTTCTCCTTCTCCTTCCCATATCCTTCTCCTCCTCCCCCATATCCTCCTTCTCCTTCCCCTTCCCTTCCCCCATATCCTTCTCCTCCTTCCTAAAAAATGTAATAATAATAATAATATTAATAATTTGTTATTCCTATTACTATTTTTTTTATTATTATTATATTTGTTATTTTATAATACAACATAGCAATAACAATAATAAACAACAACAGCAACTATTATTTTTTTTTATAATCAGAATAACAAAAAATACAAGAATGTGTCAACAACAACAACAATAATCATAATACAAATAATAACAAGCAATAAAAACAACAAAATAATAATGCAAACAATTCAACAAATAATAATAATAATCTCAGGATGAGCGTAACTGAGTTTTTGTTTCATTTATATTTTGAAATCTGTAATTTTCTATAGAAACAATTGAGTACTGTCCGTGATACTTTTTTTATTTGCACTAACATACATGTCCTCAAAATTGTATGTTAGTGCAAATAAAAAAAGTATCACGGACAGTACTCAATTGTTTCTGTCGCAAATGCACTAATACGGCTACAATCACCTCAAGCAAAATGGTAATTTTCTATGAAATCCTTCCATTTTGATGAAATATATTGAAACCAAATGGAGAATTAAAAATGAAGGAGTTTTTTTAGAGGTACAAAGAGGTTTGAACGGCCCCTGAGGATAACAAATCTCCCTCATCTATTCATCTATCCTGGACTTGGTATTGAGCAAACAAAAAAAGCTGCTCATTAGCCTAATTTTTTTAAATTCAGAAAATAAAAAAAATCAAACAGAAAAAAAAACAAAACAAAAAACAAGAAATAAGCCCCCCAAAGCAATAATCCTCAAAAAATAATCACATGCATGCAATAAATAAATAAATAAATAAATGTCCATGACATAAAGCACCTCTCAGGTCAGATCACAATCTACGTATAATCGTTCTCTATGAAGATCTCCTGAACAATCGATGGCATCCCAATAAATACGATAGAATTTGGCGTTGGTTGTACGGGTCTGTGGTAGTCTCTGCTGAGTGGAATTGTAATGTGAATTGGTTGGAGATATTTTTCCTCCGTGTGGGTTGGATGGACAACCTCGTACGAGAACGCTACCGCATGCTGCGTGAAGAGGAGAAATCGGTCGGCCTCGGTCTTGTCACCCTCTGACCCACAATAAACCCCAACCTCTGTCTGATTTCTTTGGTCCTGGCTCCGTAAATGATGGGGTACATCATGGGGGGAACGAGGAGGTACAGATTGGCCAGCAGTATGTGGACTTGCTGTGGGATTCTCCCTTGACCCACTCTATGAGCGATGAACGAGAAGAAGGCAGGGATGTAGAACCCTCTGACCCACCATGAACCCCAACCTCTGTCTGATTTCTTTGGTCCTGGCTCCATAGATGATGGCGTACATCATGGGGGGAACAAGGAGGTACAGGTTGGCCAGCAGTATGTTGACTTGCGGTGGGATTCTCCCTTGACCCACTCTATGAGCGATGAACGAGAAGAAGGCCGGGATGTAGAACCCTCTGACCTACCATGAACCCCAACCTCTGATTTCTTTGGTCCTGCCTCTGTAGATGATGGGGTTCATCATGGGGGGGAACGAGGAGGTACAGGTTGGCCAGTAGTATGTGGACTTGGGGTGGGATTTTCCCTTGACCCACTCTATGAGCGATGAACGAGAAGAAGGCAGGGATGTAGAACCCTCTGTCTCACCATGAACCCCAACCTCTGTCTGATTTCTTTGGTCCTGGCTCCATAGATGATGGCGTACATCATGGGGGGAACGAGGAGGTACAGGTTGGCCAGCAGTATGTTGACTTGCGGTGGGATTCTCCCTTGACCCACTCTATGAGCGATGAACGAGAAGAAGGCCGGGATGTAGAACCCTCTGACCTACCATGAACCCCAACCTCTGATTTCTTTGGTCCTGCCTCTGTAGATGATGGGGTTCATCATGGGGGGGAACGAGGAGGTACAGGTTGGCTAGTAGTATGTGGACTTGGGGTGGGATTTTCCCTTGACCCACTCTATGAGCGATGAACGAGAAGAAGGCAGGGATGTAGAACCCTCTGTCTCACCATGAACCCCAACCTCTGTCTGATTTCTTTGGTCCTGGCTCTGTAGATGATGGGGTTCATCATGGGGGGAACGAGGAGGTACAGGTTGGCCAGCAGTATGTGGACTTGCGGTGGGATTCTCCCTTGACCCACTCTATGAGCGATGAAGGAGAAGAAGGCTGTTATGATCCGCCAGGTGGTGCCTCAGGCTGCCAACTGACAGACCTACTCAGAGCGTGGGGTCTAAGCCCGGGCTGTGCTTTCACCAGGGCCCCTGATGGTGGGGATGGACTTGAAACAGTCCCGGGCCAGGTCACGACCTCCGAGCAGGCCCACCAGTGGCTGAGGAGACCTCCGGGGACAGGTACCGGGAGAGCCAGATGTGAAGAGGATGGCGGCCCCAGCAGGGTAGTAACGGATCGTGGGCCCGTGAGGGTAAGCGGGGTACAGAATCGGTGGGCAAAGAGTAGTCGGGTCACACGCAGGATCAGCAGGGTAAGTCAGTCCGTAGAATGGTCAGGGCAATCCGGGTCAATCACAGGAGCAGGCAGAGTAGTCAGGACAATCCGGGTCAATCACAGGAGCAGGCAGAATAGTCAGGGCAATCCGGGTCAATCACAGGAGCAGGCAGAATAGTCAGGGCAATCCGGGTCAATCACAGGAGCAGGCAGAATAGTCAGGACAATCCGGGTCAATCACAGGAGCAGGCAGAATAGTCAGGACAATCCGGGTCAATCACAGGAGCAGGCAGAATAGTCAGGACAATCCGGGTCAATCACAGGAGCAGGCAGAATAGTCAGGGCAATCCGGGTCAATCACAGGGGCAGGCAGCGTAGTCAGGGCAATCCGGGTCAATCACAGGGGCAGGCAGCGTAGTCAGGGTCAATCAGGGTCACTAGACGGGTGCAGGAACTCAAAATCACAGAAAGACCTTGCGGCAATCTGTGACAGTGCAGGGCATCTTTAAATAGTGCGCCCTGCACTGTCATTGGCCGGCTAGGACGCGCCCCCGGCTGTCATTGGACGCCTGAGGCGCGCCCGCGGCTCCTACTGCGCATGTGCGGCGTCCTGTCAGCCGCGGCTCGCCGGGACCTAGTGCCTGTGTCCCGGCGCGATCTGCCGCCAGTGCGCATGCGCGGGGGACGGCACCGCGATCCGGGACTACGGAGCCGCGATCCCTGACAAAGGCAGGGATGTAGAACCCTCTGACCCACCATGAACCCCAATATCTGTCTGATTTCTTTGGTTCTGGTTCCGTAGATGATGGGGTTCATCAAGGGGGGAACGAGGAGGTACAGGTTGGCCAGTAGTATGTGGACTTGCGGTGGGATTTTCCCTTAACCCACTCTATGAGCGATGAACGAGAAGAAGGCCGGGATGTAGAACCCTCTGACCTACCATGAACCCCAACCTCTGTCTGATTTCTTTGGTCCTGGCTCCGTAGATGATGGGGTTCATCATGGGGGGAACGAGGAGGTACAGGTTGGCCAGCAGTATGCGGACTTGCGGTGGGATTTTCCCTTGACCCACTCTATGAGCGATGAACGAGAAGAAGGCCGGGATGTAGAAGAGGGAGATGATGCATATGTGTGCCACGCATGTGCTGAAGGCCTTGGAGCGAGCCTTGGCCTGGAGACTCATAACCTCATTGGCAATCATGATATAAGACACGATGATGAGGACCAAGTCCACCCCCGTTGAGGCAGAAGCAGCCAACATACCATAGATGTTGTTGATGGTCACATCTGCCGACGCCGCCCGGGCCATGGCCATGTGTTCACAGTACGTGTGCGCAATGACGTTGCTCTGCTGGTATGGAAGGCGGTTGAGGAGGAGGATGAGAGGAGTTATAATAAAGAAAGCTCGGACAATCGCTATCATGGCCGCCCTTTGTATGAGTGAGTTTGTCACGAGGACCGTCTACATCAGAGGAGAACAGATGGCAACATACCGGTCATAAGCCATGGTCAGCATGATGGAGGACTCAATGACAAAGAGGTAGTGGATGCAGAAGATCTGGAGGAGGCAGCCATTGAAGAGTATCTCGTGGGAACTGAACCAAAATATGCTGAGAGTCTTGGGCACAGCGGCACAACCCAGGAGGACGTCTGTCACTGTCAACATGGCCAATAAGATGTACATGGGCTGGTGGAGACCTTCATTGGCAGAGATGACCATCAGCAAGGTGGAATTTCCAAACAGAGACAGAACGTACATGATGCAGAAGGGGATGGAGATCATCACATGGGCTTCCTGTAGACCGGAAATTGCCATCAGAAGGAAATATTCTGGGTGGAAACTGGACACGTTTGACATGTTTGGAATGACGTGTACTCCCACCAGCGCAATGACGTCAGCATCTACAGAAAGAAAAAATGGGAAGTCTATCACCTACCTTGCTTCCCAATGATTTGGGTCCACCTGAGTAATATGGATTGGGATGAAACCAGCGTTCTACATCAACACAGGGACAAGGTGCCATCCCCGTGTTGAGGACATGTGTTCGGGTAGGGGGGACACTCATCCTTCCCTTTCCAGACCTGCCACCCTGCATGCTTGTGTCAGGAGCATGTAGCGCTCCTGCTCCATCACGGTTGGTAGTCTCGTTCTAGCATCCAGCATCTCCCTGTCTGTCCAACAGTAAGGGTATTGATGCGGCTAGGCTGTGGATGGAGACCACATTTGATTTAAGCCGGCCAAGCCTACAGTCTCATGCTTGTGTCAGAAGCATGTAGAGCTCCTGCTCCATCACAGTTGTTGGTCTTGTTTCAGCATCCAGCATCTCCCAGTCTGTCCACCAGTAAGGGTATTGATGCGGCCAGGCTCTGTGTGGAGACCACGCTTGATTTCAGCCAGCCAAGCCTACAGTCTCATGCTTGTGATATTGCATTCGTAACACGTGCTACAAGCTCTCTGTTTGTCAGCCCTGCTCTGCTAGTTTAGATCCCCTCATTGACAACCACTGATCAGATAACGACTACTCTCTGAATCCTGCCTGCCTTTCGACTACGGATTTGACCGTGACTATTCTGAACCTTGCCTGCCTTGTACCCGGGCTGTCATTGAACTGCCTGTCTGCAAACTGCAAGTACCCATTTGCTATTAATCAGTTTGCGCCTGCCCTAGCATGGCAGCCTGGCACTATAGCATTGTGTATAAGTCTTTTGGGGGCAACAGAGTACTGGTAGGCCTGCTTACCGTATGGAAAAGGGGACATTTAAAGGGGGAAGAACACAGAAGCAAGCTATAGTTCCTGACCACCAGCATTAGTGGTAAGCTTGACAGCTTGGATAAAGGACTAGTTTGGATTTTTTTTGGGGGACCTGATGATTTTTTAGTCATGTTTGAGTGGGGTTCCCCTTCAAAACCCATACCAAACCCAAAGGGTCTTGTATAGAATTTAGGGGGGTCCTCACACCAGTTTGTTTTGTTATTTTTAGATGGGTCCCACGGTAAAATAAATGCCAAACATGATGGGCCTAGAATGATTATGGGGGGGACCCCATGCCTATTTCTTTTTTGTGTAGGGGTTCCCTATTAACATGTATATCAGATCACCTTTTAGGAGAAGGGTCTGGTATTGGTAAAGAGAGCCCCCACAGGAGAAGGGTCTGGTATTGGTATAGAGAGCCCCCATAGGAGAAGGGTCTGGTATTGGTATAGAGAGCCCCCATAGGAGAAGGGTCTGGTATTGGTGAAGAGAGCCCCCATAGGAGAAGGGTCTGGTATTGGTGAAGAGAGCCCCCACAGGAGAAGGGTCTGGTATTGGTATAGAGAGCCCCCATAGGAGAAGGGTCTGGTATTGGTATAGAGAGCCCCCATAGGAGAAGGGTCTGGTATTGGTGAAGAGAGCCCCCATAGGAGAAGGGTCTGGTATTGGTGAAGAGAGCCCCCATAGGAGAAGGGTCTGGTATTGGTGAAGAGAGCCCCCACAGGAGAAGGGTCTGGTATTGGTGAAGAGAGCCCCCACAGGAGAAGGGTCTGGTATTGGTGAAGAGAGCCTCCATAGGAGAAGGGTCTGGTATTGGTGAAGAGAGCCCCCATAGGAGAAGGGTCTGGTATTGGTGAAGAGAGCCCCCACAGGAGAAGGGTCTGGTATTGGTGAAGAGAGCCCCCACAGGAGAAGGGTCTGGTATTGGTGAAGAGAGCCCCAGCAGGAGAAGGGTCTGGTATTGGTGAGGAGAGCCTCCACAGGAGAAGGGTCTGGTATTGGTGAAGAGAGCCCCAGCAGGAGAAGGGTCTGGTATTGGTGAAGAGAGCCCCCACAGGAGAAGGGTCTGGTATTGGTGAAGAGAGCCTCCACAGGAGAAGGGTCTGGTATTGGTGAAGAGAGCCCCAGCAGGAGAAGGGTCTGGTATTGGTGAAGAGAGCCCCCACAGGAGAAGGGTCTGGTAATGGTGAAGAGAGCCCCCACAGGAGAAGGGTCTGGTATTGGTGAAGAGAGCCCCCACAGGAGAAGGGTCTGGTATTGGTGAAGAGAGCCCCCAGCAGGAGAAGGGTCTGGTATTGGTGAAGAGAGCCCCCACAGGAGAAGGGTCTGGTATTGGTGAAGAGAGCCCCCACAGGAGAAGGGTCTGGTATTGGTGAGGAGAGCCTCCACAGGAGAAGGGTCTGGTATTGGTGAAGAGAGCCCCCAGCAGGAGAAGGGTCTGGTATTGGTGAAGAGAGCCCCCACAGGAGAAGGGTCTGGTATTGGTGAAGAGAGCCCCCACAGGAGAAGGGTCTGGTATTGGTGAGGAGAGCCTCCACAGGAGAAGGGTCTGGTATTGGTGAAGAGAGCCCCCACAGGAGAAGGGTCTGGTATTGGTGAAGAGAGCCCCCAGACAAGGGCAGGGCAAGCTTCCATTGTTGTTTGCAAGGGCACTGGAAGGTATAGGGCCCACCCACATTATCATCCATTGGCTGGAGTACCTCAGAGCCTCATTAATATTGTTGGTGTGTGGAGATGGAGGACCTTTTCATGTACAGGACCCTCATGGAAAAGGCAGCGCTGGAATCTAGATAATTTTATTAAAAAACGGACTAAAAACATTGAGGACCAATTAAATGTTGACTTTGCAGACTAAACAGAAACCCCCCCCCCCCTCCAGTAAGCCTGATAACATTTACTGTAGTTCACCATATATATGGACCCCATAG